GAATCTCCCTTGATGGTTCCGCGGATCATAGGAGAAAAACCCGAGTTGGAGATGGCTCACGGGTAGCTTCACTAAGCCTTTTATTCTTTGGTGTGTGTTTTAAGTTGTGATAAGTACCCATAAAAATTTACCTTGGTGACATTTACTACATTCACAATGTGCAACCCTCACCATCATCTAGTTCCAGAACATTGTCGTCATTCCAAAAGGAAACCTGTACCCGTTAGCAGTCACTCCCCATTCTCCCCTGCCCCCAGCCCCTGGCAACCACTTTCTGTCTCAAAGGATTTGCCTTTTCTGGACATTTCATACAAGTGGAATTACATATGTGGTCTTTTGCATCTGGCTTCTTTTGCTTAGCATAATGTTTTCGAGGTTCATCCAGGTTGTAGCATGTATCAGTACTTCATTCCTTTTAATGGCTGAATAATATTGCATTATATGGATGGACCACAATTTACTTATTCATCCATCACAATTGGGTTGTTTCCACCTTTTCTGCTAGTGTGAATGGTGCTGCCATGAACATGCACATACCAGTTCTTTTTATTCTTTTTAAGGTAATATTTAATTAGCTCTTTGAAGCTAAGCGCTTTACAGGATTTTCCTATTTAAGATACCAATCATCCCCATTTTGAAGATGAAGAAACTGAGGCACAGAACTGACGGGACACTTGCTCGAGGGCAGACCAGAGACTAACCCAGGTCTGTCCAGAGCCATGGGCTGGAAACCCACAGGGTGTGCTCTCTCAGCTCAGTTACTCTCTGTGGCCCAGCCCAATGGATGCCAGAGACAGGTGAATCAGACCCAGTGCCCTCCAGGAAGGCCAAGCATAGACACAAGGGCCTGGGCAAAGAGTGGGCAGCTCTGCCCTGGGAAGGGCACCAAGCAGAAGTTGTCTCCATGCTGGGGCTGCCCAGCTGGGGAACTGAGGACCCTTGGCCTGGCAGGAGCTGGGATGAGTGAGGAACAGGCCATGTCACTGGAGGTCAGGCCGGGGTAATGATAGGGCTGCTTTCTGTGGGGGGCTTGCTCACCACTGCAGGGTTTTAAGCAGAAGGAGTGACAGTTAGTGTTTCAGAAGGATCCCTCTGACTGTTGTGCAGAAAAAGGACCTCAGGGCCACAGCAGAGGCAGGAAGATCCAGGAGGGATGGTCTCTGAGAAGGACAAATGGGAGGAGGAGCAGATGGGGGCTGGTGGAGCATGAGTGATCTAGGGGGCTTCTGGGAAGGGAGGACCAGCAGGACACCTCACTTGAGGATGTGTCAAGGAGTAATGGGGAGGCCAGCATCAGAGAGGTAGAGGAAGCCCCACAGAGGAACAGAGTGGGGAAAGATTGCAAAGACAGAGGACAGCCTGTGTGTTGGTGGACATGAGGAGGAGCTGGCCCAAGGGAGACAGAGAGCCTGCTCTGCCGTGTGCTCCAGAGCCTGTGGGACAGAGTTGTCAGGGGCTGGCCAGGGCTCCTGCCTGGTTACTCCCTGGGGGTCAGAAAAGGGCATCCTGACACAGTGAGCTCTGGGACCTGCCTCAGCTAGAGCCCAGGCAGACCAGTGGTACAGGAGTAGACAGGCCTGAGGTCACTGGAAGGCAGAGTGACCAGGGGTAGGCAGGGAGACCAGAGTCCACCTTTCCCCCAGTGGCTGCCTTTCCCATCCTGTCCTCAGAGTGGGCTCCAACTGCACAATGTTTTACGGTCAATACTGTGTTGACTTTCCATGGCCAGAGCCTAGTGGGAACTCCATTATCTTTTATGATGGCTGCTTAATCTCTGTTTGTTGGATGTACTTTAATTTATTTAACCAATCCCATGTTGAAGAATATTTAGGTCGCATCCAAATTTTTTTGCCACTTGACTCCTTTTCCAATGACTTTTCTTTTTTTTTTTTTGTGAGGAAGATCAGCCCTGAGCTAACATCTGTGCCAATCCTCCTCTTTTTGCTGAGGAAGACCGGCTCTGAGCTAACGTCTATTGCCAATCCTCCTCCTTTTTTTTTTTTCCCCAAAGCCCCAGTAGATAGTTGTATGTCATAGTTGCACATCCTTCTAGGTGCTGTATGTGGGACGCGGCCTCAGCACAGCCGGAGAAGCAGTGCGTCGGTGTGTGCCCGGGCCGCCAGTAGCGGAGCGCGCGCACTTAACTGCTAAGCCACAGGGCCAGCCCGCAATGATCTCTCTTTTTGCTTAGCTCATTGGAAGCAATAACATCTGTGAAAACATAGATTCAATGGCTGCTTGTATTTTAAAGATTTTATTTATTTATTTTTCCCCCCAAAGCCCCAGTAGATAGTTGTATGTCATAGCTGCACATCCTTCTAGTTGCTGTATGTGGGAATCGGCCTCAGGATGGACGGAGAAGTGGTGCCTCGGTGCGCGCCCGGGATCCGAACCCGGGCCACCAGCATCGGAGCACGCGCACTTAACCACCAAGCCACGGGGCCGGCCCACTGCTTGTATTTTCTAATATAATTTAAATCCATGCAACGCTATTGAGATTTAAAAAGTGTCAGTCCTTGTACCACCTAAGTTCATGCCCCATTCTACCTGCAGTAGGGCTTCCTCGCTTGGGAGACCCTGGGGCCATCCATTCGCTGGTGTATACTGAGCACCTACTGTGTGTCGGGAGCACATGATCGTGATGTGCTCCTCTCCCGTCCAGACGCAGGGTACCTCGCCCAAGGTCAGTCCTTCCCAATAAAGGACATCGTCCCTTCCAGCCTCCTCCAGGACCTCGTCCACAACCATCCCTTCTCTCAATACTGACCATTCCATCCTTCCCACTATGCCAGCTCAGTCCCTAAAACCTACAGGGGATGTTAAACCATGGTCCAACTGGTGACTCTCTGTGGCTCAGTTTCCTCCATCTATAAATGAGGAGACGAACAGTCGCTGCCTCTCAAGGCTGTCCTGTGATTCCAACAAAGTAATGCAGATAAGGAGCAGCGCTCAGTGCCCAGGCGCTTATCGAGTGCCCAGGAAACCAAAGCAACTGGGCAAGTATTGTACTAGCCACCCAGGGCTGGACGGCAGCAGCGTTTCCTCTTCTGGCCAGTGTACAACATACACTGGATGTTTCTGGGTGGTTAAAGTAGGGTTTGTGATCTTCTGTCAAATCCAATTCTTCCCAGGGTCAGCTCCACCACCAAAACTGAGGGAAGGGAAGACACAGGGAGGAAGGTGCTCCCCCTCTGGGTGGTGGGTGTACCAGGCAGGAACACTTGGTATGCCCTGCCGTTGTGGGCCATGGCCCCTGTCCTCCAGGGGTTGCCAGCCCAGCAGAGACCAACAGAAACACACTGTATGTAAATAAGCAGGGCCCTAAAGGGCTTTACCTCGTGGGCTTGGGGGTGGGGGTGGGAGTCCAGAAGTCTATGTGGAGACCTGAGGCCCAAGAGAGGAGCAGGGGTTTGACACAGTAAGAGTTGGGGTTCTGGATCACCTGGCACACCGTAGGCTCTCAGGAAACTGGGGCCCTTTATGGTTCTGCCACCCCGCCCTACTGAAAGTAATGACAATGAACATACACCTACCCTATGAATGGGCAATTCTACTCCCAAGTATACCCAAGAGAAATGAGTGCCTATGAGAGCCACAAATGAGTGTGTAGGAACAAGAATGTTCATACCGGCATTATTTACAATAGTCCCAGACTGGAAACAACCCAAATGTCCATCATCTGGAGAATAGATAAATGTGGGTATATTGTTACAATGGCCCACGTGGCAATTAAAAACAAAACAAAACAGAAGGATGGATTTCACAGACAGTATGTTGATCCAAAGCAGCAAGACTCAGAAGAGTACACCGTAAGATCTCGTTTATAAGATGGTCTAGAACAGGCAAACTAGGCTGCGACTCACTCTATGGTGACAGAAATCCTAAAGATGATTGGGGGAGGAGTACCTGCTATTGACTGGATAGGGACGTGAGGAAACTTTCTGGAGTGATGGAAATATTCTGTATCTTGCTCCGGGTTCTTTTTACACAGGTGTATAGCTATGTAAAAATTCCATCAAGCTGCATACTTAAGATTTTTGCACTTTATTGTATGTTACGCCTCAGTAAAAGTTAACGATAATATCTAATAATAATGATGATGTAGCGACCAATTACTGAGTACGGTGTTCTAGGCAGTGTCCTGTTAGACCCCAATCCCACTGCCTTGTAATTACCCGTTCACATGACCACTAAGGCACAGGGAAAGCGTTTTTGCAAAGGACTGGAAATGAGAACGCGAGGCTTGTTGGGAAGGAGCCCGGGGCCGGCTCTCAGGACTGGCCGTCATCGGCCCACGCGCTGACACCGTGTCCAGAGCGTGTCCTGAGCGGAGGGCACCGCCTGGCGTCACCCAGGCAAAGATGCTGACGTGACTCTGGTCCACAACGAGACAGCAGCACCCACCCCGCTCTCCTGCGGAGAACCTCGCCCGCAAAACCAGAGAGAAGCCAGCCAATCAGCAGCCGGCCTGGCCTAGCGTCACTCGATTGAGGGCCTCCGTCACCTAGGCTGACCACGCGCCTCCAATGGGCGAGCTGCTCTACGGCCGCCAATGAGCAGCGGCCTTACGTCCTGCCCCGGCTCTCGGACTCCTCTGCAGCGTTTCCGCAGCGAACGCTCCACTCTGAATGCCGGTTGGCTCGCTGCCAGCCAATCATCGGGGCGCGCAGGGCCGGCAGCCAATGGCCGCCCGCCTCTCCGCGCCGGGCCGCGACGATTGGCGCTGAGCGTCCGCAGCCAGAGAAGGCGGGAACGGATTGGCGCAGGAAGCTTCCAATGGGCGGCGCGCGCGAGGCGCGGGGCCAATGAGCGCGCCGGGGGCGGGGCGAGCGCGGCGGCGGG